TGTGAAATTAGATATTTAACTTGAATAGGAGGTGCCACGCTCCGTCGAGACTAGTTAAATCCCAAGTGTCGATTACTCTCTGCTCTCCCGCAGTAGTCGGCACAACAGCTTACAATAGTGATCCATAACGCATCCTTCTATAACATCATATAGGCTGTCCTTCAAACAAGTTATTTTTCTCGATAACTTTATAGACGTGTTTGATCGAACCATTCCAATTCGTAAACTGGACGATCAGGACACATATCCCTAATACTAATACCACAACTATACCAATACGAAGTCGCAGAGGTTGCGCCTGAAATTTTTCGAAAACGTACCTTCTACTCCACATATTGTGAAAGTAATTCGGTAAGTCGTGAAGTAATTCAGAAGCTAGCCAACAAACACTTTGTTATAGATGTTCCTATTATATCACAAAGCGATAGTACGACTGCTTTGAACGATCAATATAAAAAAACAGGAAAAAGGAAGATTTGATATTGTGATTTGGAGGATAGGATGATATTACCCCCACAATAAATTGGTGTCTTCAATACAAAAGCAAGAAGCTCCAGAGCCACTATTTAAAATTTTTTACGAGTTTTAAACAGATCAAAAGTAATTTCACCCAATTAATTTTATTTGCTTGTTGAATTATTCAATGCGAGTATTAGTAGATGAAAGTATGGCAACTTTAGCATGGGATTTTAATCGGCTGGGTGTTGTGACTAATCAATGGTTGGTTTGTCATTGATGAACTTGAAAGTTTATTTGAGCAGTTGGCGTATTAAACTGGGCTGGTATACACGTGAACAGTATGGCCGTTAGAATTGATGGCTTGGCTGGACGACTAAAATTTTAATAGTTAGCCTTGTTGATTGATCAATCTAGTGAGTGATTTGTCAGACAGTTATGGGTGAGCGCTGATTTCAGTGTATTTTTGTGCTTATGGGCTACAGTATTAATTGACCGCCACACAAGTTAACCTACTAATTTTCATAATTGTTCAAAGCATTTGTGCTGCGTGCGGAACCACAAACTACAATCATCGAATGGTGATGACTATGCTTCGAAATAAGTTTTCGCTTAACGATTACCACCGTTGATCGTGGTAACCTAGAAGAATATTGTAAATCAAACAATTATTCAATTCCTCAATTGAAGTTGAAATTAGAATTAAAGTTGAAATTAAAATTAAAATTGAAATTGAAATATAGAATTGATACTTTTATTCGCCGCATTATGCTAACCAATATCGCACCATACCTTCTACCTGAACATTCATTGCCAATAAAATTGCGCGAAATTGAAGTCAGCTGATTTACTAATGCGGGGAATAACCTTTACCTTGCACTTGTGTTAAAGATTCTCGTAAACGGAATATATCATTGGTCACATCAGGTTAATATTGTGCATCAACTGGTACCGCTGAGTTGTATTTATTGAAAGGGAAATAGTCAAAAGCACATATTGTAAAGTTAACTAGCTTTTCCAAAATCTCTCGACATTAGAATTAAGGGGAATATTTATGCAAAATTACTTATTTGTTTTTACCAATAATGTGTAGAACGCAGACGAATACATAAATCCCCTTCATATAATTAAAATTAAACTACATAAAAAATTTTTTCTGTTAAACTCTTAATTTAGTCTCGAAAGTATTTTACCAAAAATGTAATAAGTTGCTCATAACTAAAACGGTATACTAATACCGTAAAGAGTAAAAAAATTTGTAATTTGTCTTTTAAATTCGCTGTTCACTAATTCATCGGATCGAATACATTTTTGAATGTCTTCCAGCCAAAGTCGCTGCAACTCTTTCGTTTGTGTGGATGACGTGAGTACATCTACTTCCGGAATTTGAAATGTCATAAATGGTTGAGGAACTTCGGATCCGAACAGTTCTGGGAGATACCCTTCAAATAAATAGCTAATTGGTTTTCCGCGCAGACATTCTTTGAATAATGGTAAAAGCGATCGATCGAAAGGTACATTTGCGGCATAATATTCGTCAAGGATAGTATCTGCATCTCTCAATTTGTTTGCATTCTCTGTATCGGCAAGCTGTGTATGGACAATTATAATTTCTTTCATCAAATATTTAACAACTGGAGACTTTGCACCGAACCTTAACATGTATTGATATAGTACAGGCGAGTATTTAAGGAATGTGCGAGATTGGGTTGGGTTATTGTCACCTTCGACAATACTGTACTTTTCAAATGCGGAAAGAATTTGCTTTTCGGGATCGTTGATCGAGTTGATGATATAATTCAGTGCATCACTTTGTTCAAGAATTCTTGACAGATCAAGCAAATCTATCAAGCACATTTCAAGCACATCCGTCTTGGGCATTTTCCGAGCAATTGAAAAACCCTCAATAAGACTCTCTCCGACATCGATTAATCTCCGTTTGAATAGAAGCAGTAGAGCATTTCCAATCAGAGTGTCGGTTAGTGGAAATCCAATTGATTGTAAGTTGCATAGTTTTTCAGCAACTGCTTGTCCTGAAGGAACACCGGTAGAATAAAGATCTAGTAGGGTAAGTTGCACAACAGGGTTTTCCAATCCTTGGTTATTTCGTGATAACCAATTTTTCTCCAGATATTTAACAAATCTGGATAAGCGATTATCGCCTTTGCCACGACCTTCAATTCAGAGGCGGTTGCATAACCGTTTTGGGGAAGGTTATCTTCATATTTAGCAAAATTTTCGAATATATATGTTCGAAAAGTTGGCTTGGGCGGAAAAGGCGCGAAACCATAAACTTCAATTATTGTTTTGATATCGTTTTCGTTTTCTCCTTTTTTTAACACTTGACGGATTGAATGCATGTCATTGTGGTTGTCGTTTCTGTATCCTTCCTTGAAATTAATAATTCGTTCGTATACATTGTTGGAAATATTGTTACCCCACAGACAGTGCTTTCCATAAACAAGTTTTAGTCGTTGGACAAGGTACCGGCTGATAAGAGAATTTTTTAACACAAGCTCAATCACGCTGATGTTGAGTAATGGTTCACCGATTCTTACAGCGTGAAACAAAGCATGAACACGACCATACTTGTTGAGCAGCCATCTATATTTTGTATGTGGCGAATTTACTACGCTGTACCATTCACGCGAACAGCAGCCAAGCAAGTAGGGTTTTTCCAAGTAACTCGCAATTTCTACTTTGAGTTCTACAGGCAACTTATTTATCCAGATTCTGTTCATAGTTTAGACCTTGTAGAATGTCTGTTTTGAAGAAAATTTCTTCCGTATATAACAATTTTTCAAAATGTGTAACCGCCGTTTAATAATAGTAACAAGCAAGGTAATTTGATAAGAGCGTTAGACGGTGGAACTTCTAGGTTATTGGCATGCAAATTTAGCCAATGTAGTCCACTAATGCCGTTTCCAGCATACAGTACATGCAATTCAATGAAATATTAACAAGATGAGGTGGCTGTAAAATGCATTATCATTATAGTCAGATACGTGTAGTTAGATGTTACACGTGTATACCATAAGGTAATGAGCGGAAATTCCGACGAATGGTATCTGTTCTTGTCGTTATGTCATACGTACGTGATTAATTGGGCACATTAATTTGATGCGCGATGTGCATCGTGGAAGAATGTCATGGAACTTAATTGCAAGCATTCTTCCTGTCCCGTAACGCACTGATAACACCACAAGTTTTTTTTTCTTGTCGAGTCTTTGCATTGCTGTGCCAAGTTAACAAATTAACGATCAAAGAATTTTATCTAACTTTTGTGCTATCCAATGAGATGATGATAACAATCATATGATTTATCATTTACTATTTCGACAACCCAAAGATGCTAATTCATAATTTTCAAGCAACTGGTATTTATTTTTAGATACTGCGTCGGTAACCGACTAAACCTTTATGCGATCGGAGCTGAAATTCCACTAACATTTTCGGTTTGTTGTTAAATCAAGTAGTACAAAACGAAGCGGGTTCGGGTTACGAATAGCAAAACTCCGGCTCTAACTGATAGCTTTCTGTTTATTAAAAGATAATAAACATTGCCTTGTTATACTATTAATAATGTTAATTTATTTATTAGAACCAAATTGTTTCGCCATATACTGATATGTTTGTTAAACCGTTTGTTGAGTGTGCTTTTAAATACATGGAGAAAGTTATCTTCAAGCTTGTCCAATGTAGTCAAATAAATCTCATTTTCCTCAACGTTTCGTCCTGAGCTCGAAGCAAATAGTCTCTGTGGCTTTGATAACTATTTTGAGCATAGCCAAAGGCTAAGATTCAATAATAATAAAAGAACCCTCTATAAATGAACAACCTCCTAAAAGACTATTTTATTATAGAACGATCTGATATGTTAGTAAATTTACCTTTACATGAGAACAACAAAAACATTTACTGTACCGCTGTCTGTGCAGTCGTTGGCAACTGCGCATTTATCTTTTTTTAAAAATTAGTCTAACTGTAAAAGTATAAACAGTGGCTAATTATAAATCAGAACGACCCACAAAAAAACGAGTTATGTCCTCCATTACAATTTTGTTAAAAATCAATAAAATAAATTTGCTAGTATTAACTTATTAAATAGTGTTATAAATAGAGTTATATAATCTTGAGTACAAATTCTACAACATAATCTGGGTGTCCTGACTGTTTTTTATTGTACTTACCAGTCTCGATTGGCAAACTTGTGTTACAGGTAGATATCTTGCGATTCGATCTTGCGATAAACAGTCGGTCGCTTACGTATTGAAGAACGTGTGATGTTGCCACTTGGCGATCGTCGGGCTAACCACATATTAGATAAACTCTTACGCACTAAAGCTGGGACAATTTTTGTCTAAATAAACAATGGTTACATTACTGTGAATGCGGATAGTGCAAGACTTTATTTTCAAGTTACATTTATTTAACAATCAACGTTATATGGCATGAAAAATATGTAGTTAACGAAATAAATCTTGGCGGCTTCATTATCTGCTGTGTGCGTCAATGAAGTACTTCTTCTGATAACAACTCCTCCCACAAGGCAGTTGTGATATGTGTTACGTAATTGCCATGTTACACGGGGAATTATTTTTTCCATATCCAATTGGTTGTAGGCATCCAGGGGCAATTTATCAATAATCAAAACAATAACGATAGATGTGATTCAAGCGTATTACATTTACAATATATCTCTCGTAAGTTGATTTAAACAAAAGTCGAGCACGAGTATAAACGGACGAAAATATTTATAGCTGCATATGTTTGGCATACAGTCGATTCTCCCTAATGCACACTCCCTAAATGCACACACTCCCTAATGCACGCTATTCTGTGGTCCCGATCTCGAGACTTAATATTTAAATGCACACTCTATATTCTGCACGTGCAAATATTGACAATCCCGGAATGCGCACACCGATTATAAATTTAGTAAGCAAACATTGTATTGTCATACATCAAATAATTGGTATGTTGATTCAGATAATAGTATTAGTAATGTCGGCTGTAACGTCAGATAAAAATCGTAACTATTGCCGAAAGTTAAAGACCATTGGAAGAGATATTTTGTAGATCGTACGTCTTGATATCAGGCCATTTTAATCAAGCCGTTTAGCGACCAGACCATTTAGTTGATTAGGCTATTTAATTAGGCCATATTTCAAAGATTAGACAAAACTTAAGCATTACCATAAAGTAAATGTAGTTTGACAGTTTGCCAATAGTCTATAGAGAAAGGGAGGTTAATGAATGCAACAATCAAGTATATATCAATATTTTAATAAATTATAGCTGGGTTAACAATATTAGTCATGTTGTGTCTGAGTTGGGGACCTGTCTCAGTTCGGAACCAGTCACTCAGTCCAAAAACAACAGTTACACGTAAAAACATGTGTTACTACCCCGTAAATGCACCAAATTGCATATGCACGATCCCACACTTAGCCCGAGATGTGCATTTAGCTCCGATTTTTTTTTATTTACTGTAAATCGGCTTGACAGGACAGGGAAATAATAGAGGTATAATCAAATATTATATTTACGTAACTAATGAAATATTTTTTCATTTTCTACGGCGAAAATATTCTTCAGAAGATGTACCTCCTAAATTTTCTGCGTCTCTGTTTGGTTATCTATGTATATATGTATGCAGGCAGAAGTTAAGTCAACGGGGATGAAAGTTGTGTATTTATTAACGTCATCGTTTTTGTATTTTACCTTAATTATTTCTGTATAACTTTCTCTTTCACTTTCTCCTGTACGATCTTCTTCCATATGTTAACTTTTCAAACTCCAATTTGTAAGGCTTATACTTCGTTCTCAACAATAACTTGTATTCATTGCATATACGATATGACCTACACCTTGAGACCATAAAGTTAATCAATCTCTTTGCCCATTTTGACAACTTGCCTTTTTCAATAAGGCCCTGTGACTGGAACGTTGTCTGCATGTAATGAAGTCAGTGAGCCAAAATTTAAAATAATTTCGAAGGACTTGGCAACTTTATTTTGTTCAAAGTGGTAAAGTGATCGACATGCACAAAAGATATAGGTTTTTGAATTTGTTTGTCGATGTAAGTGACGTTGGGAAATGAATGATTGATTTTCTAAGTCGTTTATGTCACGCAATTATCGCATTTTTCAAAATTATAGAAACCCCTGAAATTTTTGTGTAAACAGTCACTTGATTGCGAAAATTTCGAAAACTCAACCAAGTCTCTATAAACTTCTGCGATTATTCGCCGTCACTCAAAGGCTTTACAGCTTCCTGTATAGTTTCAGTTTCGATTCGGTTACTCTTTTGGTAAGTACGAGCAGTTCTAGTGTTAGCTTTTATAGAGAAGAGGTTTTCGATCACTTGCGTTTACTGGACGTTTACTGGACGTTTACAGACGAACGCTAACAAAAGTTGTTGTCTTTAGCTGTTGTATAGCAATATTGGCAATTTTATTGGGCACAATATGGATATTAGTGAAGATTTACGTTGACGGATAGTTTATCTTCATTCTATTCTGATGGCTTTTCT